CCCTATCACAGTTGCAGAAAGTGAGCTAGTAACTTTCCAAGGGTCATACATCTTCAAGTCCACAAGATTTCTCAGGAATGTTTCAATACAGATGTTGTATTTGTCTTTCTCTCTATAAGAATAGTGACTAGTGTAGACTTAATTCTATTCTCATTTTGGAAGTTGAAAATAGGTTGATGATCACAAGTATTCCTTTGTAGCTATACCACACACTAAGACTATCTGCCCTGTCTGAGGAAAATACTTTTTAAGTACAGTGGGGCCTTGACTTACGAGTTTAATTCGTTCCGAGACCGAGTTCGTTAAGGAGCTCATTAACTCAAATTACTCTATCAACTCAGTGCAAAAAATCAGCCGAGAGACAGCTGGTATCTCAAAAAACTCATTAGCCGGAACACTCGTAAGTCAAGGCCCCACTGTATTTTCAGCAGCAGATTTAAGATTACAGTTCTCATTTAGGTTGTTTATTTTTATCTTACTCTCCTCTTGAATTTCTAATGTCACACAATCGCTTGGAAAAAATTACCAATATATCTTGGATGTAGCAATGTTGCACAGAAGCAATTAAATTGGATTTCATGAAAACCAAAACTGAACGTCCATGTATATTTGCCTTCATTATATGCCAATTAACTGTCAGTATACTTTTCTATTTTTTTGACTACTTGAAGTTTCTCAATAATTTGTACTTAAAATTCAGAGCATTCATAATCACCATCAATTATTATGGATTTTACTCTTGCATGTACACATCACTTGACTGATACAGTTCCAATCTATGAAGCACATTCCAGGCTACACTTAGGATGTACCTAAAATTGAAAGTGTGGTCAGATATTAGCAATAAATCTGCTGACATGGTTAGTTCTTGCCTCTGAGATAAAATCTCTATTTTTAATTTTTTGAAGAATTTCCATACTGTTTTCCATATTTGGGGTTTATTTGATATATGAATGTATAGTTTTATCAAATTTGGAAATTTTCAGCCAATAATTCTTCAAATAGTTTTCTTCCCTACCCACTTCTCTTCTCCAGGAATTCCAATCACATTGTTTTGAAACTGTGCTGCAACTCACTGACCCTGTGTTTATTTTTTAAAATTCTCTTTCTCTGTGTATTTGTTTTGGGTAGTTACTATTGCTATATCTTCAAATTTACTAATCTTTTCTTCTAAAAATTTTAATTTGCCCTTAATACTCTCCAGTATAATTTTTCATGTCAGACTGCAGATTTTTTTTTATAACTTCCATTTCTCTAACTTTTTTATTGGTTAAAATAGAATACAAGATATAACAACTGTTTAATATCTTTGTATTAATTATAACATCTCTGACTCTTCTGAGCAATTTTGATTAATTAATTCTTCTCATGTTTCCTACTTTCCTACTTTTTACATGTCTGGTAATTTTTTTATGGCCTGAGATTGTGACTTTATCTTATCGAAGGCTAGACATTTTTATAATCCTCTAAATGTACTTGTGCGTTCTTATGGGACACAGTTGTAGTACTTGGAAACAGTTTGATCCTTTCAGGTTTTTTATTTTAAGTTTTTTAGTTGGAACCAGAGCTATACTGAACTAGATTACTCACTCTCTAGACCCAAGGCCTTTGTATGTACTCTACCCAATCGCCCAGGATTCCTGAGGTTTTTCAGTGTGCTTGGTGAAGGGGCACTATTCCAACACTTGTAGGTCTTTAATGACCTTTCCCCAGCTTTCCTCACACGCAAGCTCACCCTGGTCAGTCTGCAGTTGAATACTCAGGAAAGACCCCCACAGGACTCCAGGGCTCTTTATCGGCTCAGTTCTCTATCTCTAGTACTCGGTCTGGAAACTCTAGGTGCCTGGGTTTCCATGGACCCTTAGCTCGCTCTTCTCAATTGAGGGACTCCGCAGCATTCTGCCTGGTTTCTCCTCCTTGCACTCAGCCAGAAACTCAATCAGAGCAGTAAATTGAGTTAATTGCATGGATTTCCTTATTTGTTTTCTGTCTCTCAGAGATCACTGTCTTTTGTCTGATGTCCAGTGTCTTGCAAAGCATTTTTTTCACACATTTTGTCCATTTAATGGTTGTTTTAGGCAGAAGAGACAATTCAGTCCTCATTACTGCATCATGGCCAGCAATGGAAATGCTCATATTATTATTATTAATTATCATTATTATTTATTATTATTATTTTAATGACAGTACCCTGGTAAGGCAAAATAGTCCATCATCAATTATTTTCTCACATATGAAAAGGTGCACATTATGTTTAGTTTTAGTTATAGTTTATATATATATATATATATATAATTGTTTTTTATAAATCTTATGTCCCTAGTGTCATATATGTTCTATATACTCTAATTCCTGGGGGGACCCTCTGGGAAAAAGAATAATTGGCAGGATACAATTCAATTACTCTTGAATCCTGGCCATCATTGTTTGAATTCCATCAAAACCCCATCTCCCAAACCTCACATTAATCTATTGCCTGGAGGCCAAAGGCCCTAATAACACTTGACCCAGAAACAAATAATTTTTTGAAGACATAAACATTTGACCTCTTCAATAAATTTTAATAATCAAATAATGGTTTCAGCTATGTTGCTATGTTTTATTTCATATTACCCCCAATATTTTTATTTCCCTTTGAAAAGAACTTCTTGGTTACTTTTTTCTGTCAAAATGAAAGATCTAATGCTAAAGGTTAACATTTAATATAACATTTTTGGTTTAAGATTTGGAGCCCCTTCACCGAAGGAAAAATTTTACTTTTTTTGGACTAATATGGCTAGCGTGCATAGGATTATGAGGACTAGGTGATTGGGAAATGTTTAATTTAATTAGGGCTGAATTTGCAAATAAAAAAGAATGCTAGAAGAATATATAAGGAGAAAAAATAAGTAGGGAATAATGAAGAATCATTAATCTCTTGGTTGCTGCATATCTGAAATAGCTTGTTTATTAGTAGTATTTTAGCCACAGTGAGCAAAAGGCTCACCTTAAGAAGACATTTGTTGGGGGAAAAAGGAATACTGTCCATGTTGAAATGACTAATGACGTTTTTACATAGCTATTAAAAAGAATGGTGTGTTGGGTATATATTCACGTGTGTATATATATATATAACTTAAACATTATGTATTAGAACTACTGTGCACATATGGTACGTGACCACCGCAGA